AGCCATCCTCTATGGATTGGACTAAAGATTCTCTGTAGTGAACTAGACTACTCTGTGGTTTGCTAATATCTACCTAATAAAAGTGTTTTATCCACTGCATCTACAATACAACCGCAGAAGTAAAACCTCGTCTTATCATAGATATGTTAGTGGCGAGCTGACTGGTCTAAGTGGATGTAATACCAACTTTGGAACCCTCTACCTATATATACTTAGTCTTCTATGAGTATCTGTAGCCTCTGAATATCTATTAGGTTCTACTCTATTCCATATCATTCCAGATGATAGCCACACAGCTCTTCCAATTAACCCCTTCAGAGGTTGACTACCAATAGGTACTACCTACTTTCAACCCCACTAGAAGCAGGTTTCATCATAACCTCAGACTAATGCCTCAGAGTCCTTAATGATTTCCTAATACTATTACACTTTCGGGGCAAAGTACTTCAATTACCTTGCCTATAGGCCTCCGGTAACCTCACATACTACTTCTAACTTCAAAGTGGTATTATTCTATCAGTTCTGGTCCATTTTACACAAAACTACCTGGAAATTATTTTCCAGGTTTATCTCTACCTCTTTGTATATCCTGCAAACAGCGTCCAGTTGGACAAATGGCCTTAGCGTATATGGTGTTTCAGGATCGTCTTCACTTGTAGACTTTTACTAAGCTTACAGCAACTCTCCAGGCTGTAGTCCATAATACTAGGGACTTATAAGGGGTCGAAGGGGGGTGTTAGCCACCATACCTCCAAGTTACAACTTGTTCATAGCTGAACTGATTGTGCAGGAGTGATCAGCACAACCTGAGATTCCAACACCCTATCTAGTCTCACATGACAAACAATCTAGTAACTTCTTACCAAGCCCTACATAACAAGTTACTTTTAATATAGGGTAACTTAGCTCCATAGCAGGTTAACCGATAGCCTAAGGCAGGGTAACACTGGTCCAAAGGTAGGGTAACTCTACCCAGACCCACTATCAAACAATTCTAGATAACTCCCAAATTGACTACTTGGGTTATCCTACCCTATCAGGTAACCACCGCTCCTTACTACTACTTATGTACTTCTTAGTATGGCATAGTATGTCTAACTGAGGTACCTAACCAACAGTACCTCTACTCAGTAGACTCTGGTCTATCACCATTCCTACTGCAGTAGTCTCTTGACACTGGTATGGGTATTGGTTTGACTAACTGTAATAGTACTACATGGAGTCTTGTTACACTAGACAAATCTCTATTTACAAAATAAATCTCTAATGGCTTAGACAATTCTGAGTTTATACAGATTGTCTCTGTTTAACAATTGATATTAATATATATTCTGATTTCACTTACATTAGCAAATATCAAAAAAAAAAACATCAATTTACCATTCTCCTAAAGTTTCTCCACTTTATAATAGCAAGTTACCTGCTTATCTATCCTCGCAGAGATTTTCTAAGTAGTATCAGTAGATGTAATAAGAGTCTACAGAGTACTATTACAATTATCCTATAACGTTCCTAAGTCCTAGTTAATATATAGCAATGGGCAACAATACCTTTCTTGATATATATCCTCCTGTATATATATATCTTAGTTATCTTCAATAGTTCTTAAAGCCTTTAAGTTACGTTATGAACATCTATATGCATAACACCCATCATAGATTTGTATAGGTTTTAGTCTGTAGGCTCGTGAGAAATGTAAAGCGATAAAGAGCATGAAGATGTTTTTATTTGTAAAAGTAATAAGTATAGAAATTACTTAGAATAAAGTGTGAAGAGTCTATCATCCTCAGCCATACCTACCTCCTTATAGAGTACTCTTCCGCCAACCCTAACCCTGATAACTCACAACTGTGAGCCTCGTGAAAAGCCACATAGTACAGGTAGAAAAGAGTGCCAACCAGGTAGCTAAGTAGTGACTCTTTATAAAATCCATTAATACCAACTCAATGGTGACTCAAATCAGTTACAAAAACTGTAGAAATGCTTGCAGGATATGGAAGAATAAATGTACAGTTTTTCTATTTGATTTGATTAAGTATTAGGTTTATTATATTATGTTGCATGCTCAGCTACATGGTTGACACTTATCTGTTATCGTACCTATATAACAACTTATAGGACTCACATGGGTTATATGCGCACAGCCCCATGACTCATAATTGAGTCATGTACCAAATATAACAAATCATAACATAAACAGATCCTATGACTTTAGTGAGTCATATGTGTGGAACCTGTGACTCATAATCAAGTCACATGCAAAATCCTGTCACATTCATGACATAGTCAACCCTATGCCTATGCTGGTGTTAAAAGACTACTACTATAGGAACGGTGGTAGACTATTGTCTATTCATTAGAAGTACTATTAGTTAAGTACCTCAGTCGGACATGCTATGTAATACTAGGAAGTACATACGTACTAGTAAGGAGCAGTGGTTACCCTACTGGGTAGGATAACCCAAGTAGTCAATTTGGGGGTAACTCTAGATTGCTTAACTGTAAGTCTGGATAGAGTTATCTCTCCTACTCTGTAGGGTAACTCAGGGTGCTGTTACCCTACCTTTGAACCAGAGTTATCCTACTATAGAGCCAAGTTACCCTACCTTGAAAGTAACTTGTTATGCAGGGCTTCAGGAGAAGTTACTAGATTGTTTATCCTATGAATCTTCAGAGAGTATTCAAATCTCAAGTTGTATAGATCACTCCTGTACAATCAGTTGAGCTCTGAACAAGCTGTAACTTGGCAGTGTGGTAGCTAGTACCCCCTCTAGCCCCATTATATGTCCCTAGTATCATGGGCTACAGTCTGGAGAGTTGCTATAAGTCTAGTAAAAGTCTCCCAGTGTAGACACTTCTGTAATACTATATACCTTTACGCTATCCAGTCAACTAGAAGCTGTCCACAGGATATATGAGGGGGTAGAGGTGAACTTGGAGAATAGTCTCTAGGTAGTTTCATGCAAAACAGACCAGAGCTGACAGAATAATGCCACTTTGAGGTTAGAGGTAATCTGTAAGATAACCAGAGGCCTATAGACAAGGTAACTGAAGTCTTTTGCCCCGAAAGTGTAATAGTATTAGGAAATCATTAAGGACTCTGAGGCATTAGTCTGAAGTTACGATATGACCTGCTTCTAGGAGAGTTGACTGTGGGGAGTGCCTATTGGTAGTCAACCTCCAAAGGGGTTAATTAGGGGAGCTACATAGCCATCATCTAGAATGATATGGAATAGAGTAGAACCTAATAGATGTTCACAAGCTGCGGATGCTTGTAGAAGACTAAGTGTATATGGGTAGAGAGTTCTATAGTTGGTTCTGTATCCCCTCAGGCATGGCAGCTCACCACTAACCTGTCTACAATATGAAGAGTTTTTTACTCCTGCGATTGCATTATAGATATAGTGGATAAAACACTTCTGTCAGGTAGGTATTAGCAAACTACCGAGTAGTTTAGTTCACAACGGAGAATCTTTAATCCAACCTGCAGAGGTTGGCTAGATAGCCCAAGGGAGTTGGGTGCTTACGAATACAGAGTAGTAATGGAGAGCTACTGGCAGTATATGAAATCTACTTAAGTAATTGTGAGTTCTCCTGTACCCTGGCAATCAACTACCTCTCAAGATCAGGACCTAATGGAGTAATATTGACTTAACAATATTAAGTTTTACTGTTTTGTTTCTTCAAACTCTACTGCTAAGATGTTGAAATTTTATTATAGTTGTTTCCAGAAGAATTTATCTCACTGTAGTCCCATCCTCAAGATGCATTTTCTCTGAGGAAGTCCCCCTTATAGCAAGTTGTCCACCCACCCATTACAATAAAATCCGTATCCACTTAGTAGGACATGCTATAGTAAATGTTACTAGTAAAAATAAAGAAATTAGTAAAAAACTCTAAAGTAAAAAAAAAAAAGAGGAAAGAGAAGGAAAAATTTTTTTTTAGGAGGAGATAGAATACAAAATAGAGGGGAACTAAAGTGATTAATAAATTAGCCATATAGATGTAACTTTGAGTAGCAATACTTGAACAGTCATAGTATTAGTGGAAAATACTTATATTAAGTTGAATGTATATATTTATAGAAAAGAGAGTTGAAAAGTGCAATGAGGAAAAAAGGAAGAATAGAAGAGGGAGGAGGAAGCTATTATATAGATCTATCTCAGAAGTGTCAAGAAAGGTCAATATAGGAAAAGAAAAAAAGATAAAAATAGGATTTATACTTGTATGAGGATGAGAGAGAGGGTATGTATACAATAAACATTATGAAGGAAAATATAACATTGTAACAGAAGTTGAAAAACCAAACCCGTTAGTAAATTTCATTACCTCATACTTTTTTATATTCACCTCTAGAGATAAGAATTAAACCTAATTAAGTTCTACTGCTACTTGCAAGCAATTTCCGTAGGACCAAATACAATTTCATAATTCTTATAGTGCAAACTATTTAGATGGGGGACCACGGCAGTTGTATTGTGAAATGCTTTAGTTGGGTAGGGTATAGGATAAATCATGGTGATGGTGATGGTGATGGCAGAAGTTTTGCAACTTAATCATAACATATTATTTCCCGTATCTATTTAATAATTATCTACATTGCCTGGTGCCCTGCTCGGGTATGCTAGTATCATAGTACCGGTACCGCATGGGTAGCTGTCCTTACTGAAGTGGTCGTTTGGGCTTGGTTCCTACGACTAAGCCCTTATGGCTCTGGCGTTGGGATCTTGGCAAGCTTTGCATATGTAATCAATAAGTTGAGGCTCCGGATTTTCTATTTTTCCAGACCCAACTAACGATCAGATGATAGAAAGAGGGAATATAAAAGCCCATATCAGTGCGGGAGATATTAAGGGCTAATATTGAATATCCAAACCCTATCTTGTGCCTATTTATGCATTGCGTGTTTTTGACATGGAAAAAACCGGTGTTCGTCTTGCTCCGTTACATTACCGTACAGCAACGCTCCGCACTTGTTCTCTCAACGACCCAACGCTCCACGCGACATCGCCAGAGAAAGCCAGCATCGCTCCCAATTTCTCCACCGCAAAAATACACCTACCTTTCATCACCTTCGCACTTCATCTTCCCTCTACTCTTTCTGGTGACTTCTACAACGTTTCCATATTTCGGTGGACTTGTGAACTTTTCTCCTACCGGTTATGGCTACTGCGCACGAGCAGTCAATGAACGCCTCCAGGTGAGAGTCATTAACACTACCGCTTTGCGACCTCACGCTTTTTGTGCTAACTATGGGCTCCGCCGGCAGTGCCATTCCTCTCCCGGAAATTCCTGTAAAACTGCGATGTACCATCTGTAGCGAGCTCGCAAGAGGCGCATCTCGTCTACCTTGTTGCGAACAATCGATATGTGAAAGCTGTCAGTTATTTCTCTCCCTCTCAGATTAATCACCATAGCTGGATAGCAGCCAACTCTAAAACTCAGGTCGATCAAAACTACCGGATGTCTGTCCGGTCTGTGACCACTCTCCGCTCGGTGCCAGCGATTGCAAACCGAATGGAGCCTTGAGGACCACGGTGGCGGTGTTTTTGCGAACCGCGGAGAAAAAGCATAACTTGTCGATGCAAAAGTTACAGAAGGAACAGGCAAAGCCTGTTGAGCCTCAGTCAGAGGCGAAAGTCTTGGAGCCAAAACCAGAAAAGCCTCAACCGACTCACGCTTCTCCTGTCGTTAATCCATTAACTCCTCCTCAAGAGGCCTCAGAAGTTGCTCGAAGTGAGGGGCCACTAGTTCCTCCACCTACTGTTAGGGTGGGTTTTTTCTACTTTGCCTTAAATGCATTTCGCCCAAATGCCTTTGAGAATATTGACAGTTTATAGGAAAGCACTGAACAGCCTGGAGAGAAGTCGCCCGGAGAGAAGGAGGCGACCCCTGTGTCTGACCAACAAGCCAATGGCTTCGTTGGCGATCAGAATGCGTGGTTTGGGCAGAGTACCGCACCGATGGGCGGTATACCGAACATGTTTTCTGCGCATGGTGTCGCTGGTACTCCTTGGGGAGATTACAGCATGATGCAGAATATGCAGGGCGGATGGGCAAACGGATACGGAGGCATGATGGGTACGTAATGCATCTTTCCATATATAATTTTTTTTTTCTCGATCACTATACTGATGTTATCCATCAAGGATACACCATGGGTATGAATCCGATGGCAATGGCTCAAGGAGGAGGGTTCGATGGAGGAAGTTATGGAGGTATGGGGATGAGCAGAATTGGTTTTAATAACGGTCAGGGTGGAGGATCTATGGGATGGAATAATGGATGGAATGGACAGAATAATGTGGGATTCAATCCTGGAATTGATGGTACACGTAATGGTGGATTTTATTCTGCTGCATCTGCTGGTGGATATAATCACCAATCTCACGGACATCATCAGATGCCCCAACAGTATCATAATCCTCATTTCCAGCGGCAGCAGCCTTACCAGCGAGGCGGCCGTGGTGGTGGTTTTGCCGGTGCTGGGCAGCGCCAAGTTTCTCTTGAACACCTGCAGCAGAATTTTCAGGATGCACAATTTCAACAACAAATACAAGGAATTGATGAAGCTGTTGCTGCCGTCACCACCAGTGGCGAAAAGAAAGGAGAAAAAATCCAGTCTGTTGTGTCTGAGGACCTTGATAATATAGCTGATGCAATCGATGTACCTACTGATTCTGCCTCTACCGTTGTGGTCGGAGGAGCAATTGGTACTACTGAGGATCTCGCAGAATCATACAATTCGATAACTCCCGTGAATCCTGACATGGCTGCTCAGTATTTTCCCACTGATGATTTTAGATCGCAGGGCTTTCAACAACAGCAAGTTTACCCCATGCAGTTTAATAATGGCTTTAGAGGGAGCCTTAGACGCGGTGGCTTCCGTGGAGATTTTATGGGAGGCCCTAGAGGAGGCGGACATGTCGGGCCCATCCCAGCTGCACCCGGATCCATGGATGGCGATAGAAGACCCATTGAAGGAATAGGACTAGGCGTTGAAGGAGCCCCTACAGGACCTAAAGCATTGAGAGAGAGAGGATTAAGCCGTAGTGGACCACCCATTAGAGCAGGTTATATTGGACGCAGAGGAGGGGGGTATCCGGTATCGTCATGGACTAGAAGGTTTGTTTTCATAGCCGCTATTACTCAACTCTATGCAATCTTACGGTATTCTCATGTGCATTTGTTTAGTATCTCGCCCGACCACGCCTTTTCCAGATCCAGGTCACAGGATAGCCGGCGCCGTTCCAGATCGCCAGATCGAGGGCGCAGCCAGGAGAGAGACAGAAGTAGGGACCGAAGCCGCGATCGTCGTAGAAGTATAAGAAGCCGAAGCCGTCACCGGAAGCACCGTTCCCCATCCGTTGAAGTAAACGGTGAGCGCCCCAGGGGAAGATCCCTAGATCGTGATGCTGCGGACCCGCCCTCCGCCACCGCGAACCCCCCTGAGACTGCAAACGATGTTGCTACTACTACTACTACTACTACTACTGCAGAAGCACAGGAAGCAGGAGACAAGGAGTCCATAACTACGGCGACAAATGGCACCCAGGAGCCCGCTCCCGCTAGGAGTAAGCGATCAAGAGACGTATCATTAACGAGAGACCAGACTCCATCCCGCTCGCGCAGCAGATCCCCCGGCCGTCATCACAAACGCTCTCGCCGACACCGCAGACGAACACCTAGCCCCGATCGTGACCGCGACCATGACCGGGATAGGGATAGGGACAGAAGCAGGGACCGCCGACATAAACGCCACAAGCATAAGAGTAGCAAACGTCACCGTCACTCCCGCTCTAGGTCCCCTTTCGCCGGCGCCTCACAAGAACCCACCGCTACACCTACAACCGCGGCACCAGCAACAACTAAAGCCTCCTTGCCCATCGACGCAGACGCAGCGGCCGACGACCGCCGGGAATTCCGCCACAAACGACGCAGCGACAAGGGCAAGGATAAGGACCGCCGCGATTCTAGCCGTCACCGTTCACACAGACATAAACATGATCGTGAGCGGAGGGATAAAGACAAAGGAGACGCTACGCCTATCACGCCAGTCGACAAGGAGGGTACTGGAGACCGCCATCGCGATCGAGACCGCAGAGACAGAGACCGCGAGAGAGACAGGGAGAGGGAGAGAGGCGGGGGCAGGGAGAGAGACAGGGAGAGAGACAGGGAGAGAGACAGGGAGAGAGACAGGGAGAGAGGCGGAGAAAGAGATAGAGACGGTAAAGAAAAGGAAAATGACAAAGATAAGGGGAAAGGGGGAGAAGACCGAAAATCTCGCCGCGACTCCCGCTCGCTCAGGAAACTGTCGTACAAATATGACGACGAGATTGACCTGGAAAGACAGGCAGAGAGGGATCGGGAGGCGGAAAGGTGGGGGATTAAATAGATTCCTTTCATGCCCTTTTCCTTCCCTTTCCCTTACCTTTCTTCATTACTGTTTGGTGAATGGCCCGACGGACGGGCGGACGGACGGATGGATAGGAAGGGGGGGGCAGGCGAACACCCCCTCTGGGAATTTGTCTTCTGTTGTTTAAAAGTTACTTTTTTTTTTGTTCCATTTTTCTTTTTGTGTATTGCTCTTCTACTTTTCTTTTCTACTTCTTTTTACAAATCTCCTCTTGGCCGTCTTGAGTCTATATTTGCATCCTCTTTTCCCTTCACGGAGCCTTCATTCCATTCACCCTGTCCATAAATTCTAAACCCTTTTAAACCTTTTTACTTTCACTTTTCACATTTACTTGACGCCTTTGCGTGTGTATCTGTATGTGTATGTGTATGTGTATGAAGTTTTTCCCCTCATCCTCCTCTATTTCTCGCTATTTTTACGTCCCATGTTGACGATCAACTAACTTTGCTATGCTATGCCATGCCAAGCTAAGCTACGTTATTCCCGGAGATTCCTTTATTTTCATTATTTTTATTTCCTATTCCTTTCTCTTATAGCTTGGTGGGCGGTGAATGGATTGGATTGGATTGGATTGGGCAGGATGGTGGGGAAGGGGGGAGAAGAATCACGTATTATCACTCACTAGATTTTTTCCTTTTTCGTGTATAATTAATTATTTTATGATAGCATGGTTTGTCTTGGTATTGATATTGGTATTGGGACGAGTAAGTAATTAAAAAGGCTGATCAAAAATAATGATAATACTCTACACATCCGAACCACCCCCCAATCTCCGAAAGAGCAAAACCTCCCTCCTCAATCCCACCTCGCCCTCGCCAATGCCCCACCTCGCAACGATGCGAAACCCACACTCAGCGATCAAGCCCTCCATGGCGACCCCGGGCTGAACCCTAATCCCCTCAAACACCGCGCGCAAGTCCGGATTCTTCCCGACGGCCCGAGCATAGCTCTCCCACGCCTGCGGCTCGAGCACGAAATACCCCCCGGGCTTGACGTCCCCGGCGACCCTCTCGAAGAACCTGCGGAGGCCGGGGTCCCCGTGTGCGAGGTGCACCCATTTGACCACGCTCAGCGCGAGCACGACGTCGTACCCGCTAGCGACAGCGCCTCCGGATGCGGTGACGTAATCGCCGCACCAGAACCTGGCCCGCTCGCGGACCTCGGCGGGGGGTATCCTGCATCCGTGCCTCCGCACGGAACTGACCGGGTACCAATCTGCTGCTGCCCGTTCGCCGCCGTCCGGGCGCGTCCGGGAGAGGGCGAAGGCGACGTGCGAGCGCGATTTCGAGATCAGCTCCTCGTCCACGTCCACGCCGACTACGGACTTCACCGCGTGGCGGAGGAGCAGGTGTCCGGCTACGGCGCCGTTGTTGCAGCCGATGTCGAGGACTGTTGCGTCCTTTAGGATTTCTTGGGGAAGGAGGTTCAGGCGTGGGTCTGGGATGTGTGCTGCTGGGTTCGAGCCTGTGTGCCGGGCGTGGGATTGGTAGGTTTTGTAGGAACCGGTTTTTGTGGACATCTCTTTTTTTTTTTTTAACGGTTAGTTGATGGTTGGTGATGGTGGGTTGGTTGTGTTTTCGATGCTTATTTCTTTGGTGTGGTATGGCTTGGCGGGGATTTTGGTTGGAGTAATTGGTGGATTCTGTGCTGAGGGTGAGGTGTGAATTGGGGTGGTAAGTAGGTGGTGCGAGTGATTAATCGTGATGAGTTCCGAAGAGTAATTTTGTGCGGATATCCAGTCTCCTTCATTGTGACCGGGGGGGGGGGTGGAGATTCTCCAATTTGTTTGAAATTAGCCAGGGTACTATACAAAAAGTAGCATTACAAGTTCCCTCTCATCTATAAAGTACTATTTCCTACACTTCTCGCTCCCCGGGTGATTTTCAGTCTCCTACATCTGCCAGAAACCTGCCCAAACGCCCTTTCCCAATACCAATTCGCAGTTTCCATTCCCAAGAGCCATTTACCTCCACCCCCCAACCCGCCCTTCATCCCACCTCTCCTTCCTCTCCTTCCTCAAGTGATACGTTTTCCTCAGCGCCCTATACTCCCTCACAAACTCACCAACATCCCTCCCACCCTCCTCTAAAAACGACTCTGCCATGGCATCGGCAACAGCCTCGGCATCGCCCACAGCATTAACCAATCGACTGTACAATGCAGGAGAAGAGAACGGCTGCAAAGCCTGGTACATCTCCTTCTCCCTATCCCTCCAAGTCCTTTCCAACTGCCTGGTCTCTACAAGCGTCCTTTCTGCGCTCTCCCTGGCCGTTACAAGTTTGGACTCGAGCGCGGCGAGTCGAGCAGCTAACTCCGCGTTGTGCTGCAAATTCGCAATGAGCGTCGCATCAGCACTCGCCGCCATAGGATGGGTAGCCGCGAAGAGTGCTTCTAGTAATTGCGGGGAGTTGAGGATGTGTTCTAAGTCATCGCGTCTGCGAATTTTTAATTTTAATTTTTCCGGTCAGTCACTTGTACACGATGAATGGACGGACGAACGGGCGATGGGTCGGGGGGTAAGGGGTTATGATACGATTTGTTCAGCAACACAGACGGGACGAAACCGTCGTCTGTCGGAGGTGGTGGGGGCGGTGGGGGCGCAGAAAGAGCTCCCGCGGGCATAGGCGAAGTAGTTCGGGACCCCGCAGCCGAGGATATAGGCTTTGGCGGCGGGGCTGGTGGAAGGTTTGGATCGTAAGACGCGCTACTCTGGTATGACGATGGCGTCGACATTGGTTGCTCAATCTAAGGTGGGGGCCAATCGGTGCGCCGTAGAGTGGGGGGAAGTAGGGGGGGAGGGATGTGTACTTGAATGCTTATCGTGAGCTTGTTCCAGAGACACGGGTCTGGAACGGGTTCCAAGAGGAGGGGGTGGGAGGTATGATATGATACAAGTGAAAGGGGAAAGTGAGTATCGCAAGGGGCCCAGCGAGGGTGTTGGAGGGAGGTTACGATAAGGTGTGGAGCAAAGATTCGATTCTGGTACCGAATGACGAATGCAAGCCCAAACCCCGCCCCCATCCAGCCATCGTTGCCATGGCAACGGTAAACCCGATCCACTTGCCCCAACCAGAGCAAGAGGGGTTTTCCCACTCTCCTCCTCCTCCTCCTGAACCCCACCTTCCCATCCAACACAAACGCCAAAAAAAAAAAACGCCCCTCCACTCCAACACTTCCCATTCTCCTTTTCCCACTATCCAAAAGAATGCGGTAGTATGGTAACACCCCGCAGCCGAGGCCTTTGATACCGGCGCTGTAGCTATGAAGCACCTCCAATCCACCCCTCAATCCTATCACACTGTACTCCAGTCACGGTACCCGGGTATGGTCATAAAGGACGAAAAAAGGTATCGGCAAGATCCAATGAGGCAGTGAGCAGCTGGTCAATATTAGTGGGAAAAACAAAAATAAGAACAAGTTGATATGAGCAACCTGGAGTGGATACTAGGTGAATTATCTTACAAACAGAAGGATGATGTTTGGGTAGTGTGAGGTACAAATAATAAGATTTGGTTTAGTACAGATGAGTCCAATAAAGATTTCCTGCATCCCAGAGTAGGCACCCACAATCCTCAACTCTTGTCTTTGGAGGAAAGTAAACAGCAATGCAAACTGGTCCAGGTTTCTGACTTCTGCAATACAATGTTTCTGTTCATGGTGTTTATGGATTGATCAACATAATCCCTGCACTGCCACTACAAGTTTCCCGCCCATTATGGCCATGCCCAAGTACAAGTACAGTTCACATACAAGTGCTGTGTGAGCACAGGTACACATACATAAGTAGCCCCAGATTACCGATTTTCAAAAATGTTTCACATCTGCACACATATGAGGAACAAGCAAGCAGGCTTTAACACCCTTTATAACTCTGACGCGTGAGGAGGACGGTGATGGAGGAGGTTTTTCTGATTAGGTATATGAGTATCAACCCTGGAGTGCCCAAAACTCCCCTGCAACGATCGACCTGTCATCCAGGAGTGCACGGTAATACCGTGAATTTTAGCCGCTACCAAAGAGGATAATGGATAGGTGGATGGATGGATAGACGATTTCACAATGGGTAGTTTCTCTCTTTCCTTTTGGGTGTTTTTTTTTCTTCTGTTTCTTCTTTTCTTTTCTTTCCTTCTTTCTTTTTTTTTGGCTGGGGGTTTATTTTCCAGTGTTGGAGACAGGGAGAAAATAGAGAGAAAAAAATAAGTGAGAAGGAAAGAAAGAAAGGCGGCCGTGGTTATTAGGAAGACGGCGAGGAGGTAAGTACCGTAGGGAGGGGGGGGGAGGGGCTCGACCTCAGGCTATCGCAAGATGGGAGAGTTGAAGCAACACATCAGGCCTGGAAAAGTAGAGAAAGAAAAGAGCAAGAGCAACAGAAAAAATAAAATAACATACAAAAGAAAGTCCTGTATGAACAATGAACATATATATGAGCCACACAAATATCGAATGTATAGGAATAAACTGAGGTAGGATGAGGAACGTATATAAGAAGAGTCTCAAAAAAAAAAAAAACATCAAGAATGATGGTAGTGGTAGTATGATAGTAATAATAATAATAGTGGAAACAGTAGTAAAAATAATAGAAAACCCTTCCCGAATCCCGTGAGGACAGCTTGTATATATGACCTTGCTCTCTCAAATTCTCTGCTATCCAGGCTGAGCACATGCTAAGCAAAAATGGAAAGCGAAGAAGCATTAGGGAGTGATATTGTTGAGAAGGAGCTCGTCGAGGAAATAAGAGAGAGAAAGAGAGAAAGAAAGAAAAGGGAGGTTCCCTAGTTTCCCTTACCACCTGTCCTATAGAAATGCATTCATCCATGTGCGCCCAATAACCAAAACTGTGACTGAGTTCTGCGACCTACCACTCACCCCTCGTGTTCCCACAGCACCCGCCTTGGAAGGGAAACGGCTCAAAAGAGAAAAGAAAGAAAGGAGAAAGGAAGAGGCCGTGGACATTGCATGTCCCCATGGGCAATCGGGCATCCCCATTATCACCAGTTGTCCCATCGCTTCTCACACCCCTTTTCCGGAAATAATCCCTCGTCCGTTCTCAAGAAATAAGAGGGTGGGGAGGTGCCCGTTTCCAGAAAAAAAAGCCTACTTCAAACAAGAGAGAAGAGGGAGACGGAAAAAAAAAAGATTGCCAATATTCCTTGGGAGTAAAAAATACATTTACCCCGAACCTAAACCCCCCATCACCATCTCTTGCCCATTGAATCCTACGCCTCCATCATGTTTTCCTTCTGCGTTTGGGCTTCCCTGCTGCTGTTGAGGGTGTATCATCTCCACTACCCTCATCCTTTCCGCTACCACCGGGAGCCCCTCCAAGAGCCTTCTCGTTGCCTTTCTTGACTGAAATAGCGCACCCTTGCCTTTTGAGCGCTTTGGTCAAAGAGGTACTAGGCCTCATCCCCGGGAATTCCTTCGCCGTATAGACCGTGAAAATGTCGCTCAACGTCTCCGTTATTATTGGTGTATAACCCTCAGGCTGCAGGTCACTGGGCTCGAGTCTCATTAGGACGAATCGCAATCGATATTTGCCATGCGTTCTACATGATAGGTCCGGAAAGCAGAAAAAACAACCCTCCCTTTCCTCCCTCATCCAGCCCGACAAATGGTGACGAGACCAACGTTCCCATAAGTCGCCGCGTCTGTCTTTTATCCATGCCTATCAGGGCCGTCTCATCCGATTGTCCATCTGTGCTCCACAACGTGCAATGAACGACATTAAACGGGTAACGCATCTCCGTCGGATCTGAGTTCCCTGCTGAGTCGTTTATGATCAGTTGAACGATTGGAGGTGGGTCGATCACCCTGCGGTCTCGCTCACCGAAACCACATGCTCGAGCTGCTACTGGTTGTTGCCGCACCTGGATTTGGTAACGACCAGGACTATCACAAATACATATTAAAAAATTGGTGCCCACCCTTTTCAAACCGCTCCCGGTGCAACATTTAAACTGACCTTCTCTGAACAGGGGCCTCTCTACGAGTAGTTGCGACATCTTCTACGGATGCCGGCGTAAACCTTGGGCCATAACCCGAAGGCTGTTGCTGCTGCTGGTGTTCATCCGAGAAGCCCTCATCGATTGAGCGCTTCGCAGTGTATGTTGGTGAAGGTATCATAGCGCTAATGCTCGATCTGGTAGTTGGGTTAATTGATGAAAAGCAATCTATCTATCCGGGGGGTATAGCAGTCAATATAACTGTTAGGTTTCTCATACCTTCGTCGCTCTGGCCCGGAATCCCCGCTGAACCTCCTCGAGCCATAGCTTTGATCGACGCTAAAGGGCGAAGGCGATGGGTACCCCGAAGACGCGGGAGATGGAAAGGGTTGTGATGGCATAAGTCGTGCAAACCGGTTTGAGACCTGATTTCCCTCATTTTTGCCACGAGTCTGTAAGGGACTCGGAACGTGTTGCGGAGGGAGCGTATTCTGCGGTGGAATGTGAGTCGATGGCTGTTGCGACTGCACAGGGGGCGGTAATACTGGTCCGCCGGCACTAGCACCGGAGCAAGGATTCGCTAGTGGCGCCAATACTGGTCCGGAGAAATGTACTGCTGCAACCTGTGAACCTCCAAATATGGGCGGCGGGAGTTGGGGGTGGTTGTGGGGTTGAAATACTGCGGAGGGCATAGGCCGCGGCGACTGGGCCATTGGAGACGATGACGGTATTGCGTTCCGTGCCTGGTGTGGATAGATGGGTTGAGGAGGGGGTCCAGGCGACATCATTCAGGCTCATTCGCGACCCTAAAGGTCGGTGGCCGAAAGTATAGATATGTGTGTAGCCGCAGCGGAGAGGAGGGGACGTGAGAGGGGTGGACGGTGGTGGGATGGTCGGTGGTTAGGGGCAGAATCGAGGCCGACAGCAGCGGGGAGAAGGGTTGAGGTTGCAAATGTCAAGCAGCAGAGCTCAACGGCGCGCGCGTGTGCGCCTCCTGGTGGAGGCAATCCTTAATCCTTCCTCCAGAAATGGTGAACTACCCCAGGACAAAGTGTAACGCACGTACCGCCAAAAGCCCAAAGGTCTTGGAGCAGCCGGCCAATGATAATCCCAACCCCACAAGAAAACCGATAAAACCAGATAAACACACAAGTAACCAAGAAAAAAAAAAGGTTCGGGGAGGATAGAAGTGCTCTGCTTCTTTTTCCAACGCGGGTACCGATTATCGCCAGGGTATTGAAGACAAGTTCCAAGGGTCGTTTGTAACAGCAGTGAGACGGCAATTGAATCGTGAGAAAGTAAAGGCAAGCCAGTGAATCGAATGCGATCGGGATAGAAGTAAAGTTGGCCGGGTGAAAGGAAAGATTTGAATATAATACGTATGTAACGAGCTCAAGCAAAGGAAGGCAAAGCGTAACAGGTCGTATGCACCGTAATCTCGTGTTGTGCTCTTTGGAGTTTATGTACGGAGAAATGGATCTATCCACGGATAAAGCGAAGCTTAAAGAGTGAGAGGCAATCGTGCCGGGACTAAAGAACCCTGTAGAAACAGTGTTGGCGTTACAATGAAAAAAAGAAGAATGGAAACTGAATGGAGGAGGGGAAGTGTTGTACGGAGCAAAAGAACGGGGTTGGTCGAGAGAACGGAAGTGAGACGTCTCTGCACGTCTGCTAGTAGGGGAGGAAGGAGGGACGGAGGAAACGACTGAGGGGGGGCGGTAGGAGGGGGCAGAGGGGGAAGGGAGATGAGAGGTAGGATAGAAGAGAGGAGGAGGGAGAGAACGAAAGGAAGGAATGGGGGAGGATGAGGTAGGATGGGAATGAGGAGGACAGAGGGAATGTGGGGGGGGGAGAGGGAGGTTAGGGAAAAGGGAGGGAAAAACGAGAGAGTAAGGTGTAGCAGCAATGCCTACTACTCTCACTGCCCTCCTCGTCCTCCGACCTCCTCTTCCCGCAGACGGCCGCAGAAGGCAATAGCACTAACACCTATAGCGGCGGCGGTAACGACGAGAATACAGTGGTCTGGGAGCGGAAAAGGGGAAGACGTTGAACTTGCGCTCGCAATTTTCAGAGCAAACAGGTGCAGGAGGAAATTGTGGAGCTTGGGGTCTGTGATGGATTGGTAGAGAATGATACAAAAGAGACACCAAGGAAAATGTTCAGTTACGCACCTAGCTATCGTGTATCTTGAGCCGAGTGTCTCTCTTGGAATGTCTTTGTGCGAGGGAAGATAGAGAGTGGAGGGGGGGGGTTCCTTCTAAAGCACGATTCTCGAAGGAAAGAAAAAATATATATAAATACTGTATGTATAATGTGCCGATATCCTCCTCTCTCCCTGAATAACGAAAAAAAAAAAAAAAAAAAACAGGAAAAAATAAATAATAATAATAATCCGAAAGGAAAGGTAAGAAAAAAGACAAGACAGGATGAATAAAATGGGAACTGGAGAAAATGAGAGGGTAAAAGGAAATAATGAATGAAAATGGGGATAAAATAAAAATAAAAAAATAGACCTTCCCCGGAAATCCCCAAGGGAGCGGGTGGGCTAGAATAGAGGTATCACAGCAGTGAAGGCCCCTCTCTTTCTTTCTCTCTTTTCTCTCTTTTCTCTCTTTTCTCCCTTTCTCTTTTCTCTTCCCTCGCGACAAGCAAGACGGAAGCCTGTATAGTATAGTAGGGAGACTCAATGTTGTGTACAGTATAGCGGCTGCAAGGTGATGTGATGCGAAGCCAAACCGGTAACTAAGCTTGCCTCATCGTCCTCCTGCCTCTAAAATGCAAGGAAAGACAAAACGGATTCACACTATTTCCGCGGGCTCGTGTTATGCCGCCAGAGGGAAGCAAGATATAAAGGGTCAATGGCGCACTGGTGACTGTGCTCTATGATTGTGGTTGAGATGAGGGTAGAGAAGGGGAACAGCGAAACGAAGGCTAGATTCCTATGGAGATAGAGGAATTCAAGTGCTAGTAAATTGACCCATGGATCTGGCACGGAGAGCGGAGAAGGGAAGGCAATTAAGAAGAACCCCGTGTCGATTTTTAGAAGTCAATATACGATATGAGTTTCATTGAACCGACCTCCTCCGCTATTCTTGACCTGATGGACCAGTTAGGTCTTTAGGGTATCGAGTAGCGGATCCTGTGCTACGTACTGCGCAAACGGTAGTAAAGGCTGGATCCGTTTGGGTATTGAAATCCACAAAGAACTTCTAGGGTATAGCAAGCCCAAGGAGCAGGTATGTACTGTGAAGTAGATTGTCGGTGCCTTTGTTCCAGGGTCTGTCTACTGTATGCTCACAGTACTCTACTGTACTGTACATACTCGTATGCGGTGATTGATCCCCATCCATCCCTCCGCTCTCCCCCCTCCCACCACTCACCCCATTCCCCTTCCCCCCACGCATCTCCAGGGCAACCAGAAAAATAAAATAAAAATTATGGGGGGGGGTACAGTACGCCAGTATCGCACGAGCTTTATCTATCTAAGAGAAACGGTGTGGAGACGGGAAATGGGCTGTCGAAACCCGGGACGGACCACCACTCTAACGCCAGATTTGCTTGCGCCTTGACACTTCATCCCGCTTGTGCTAAATTATTGGCGGCTTCGCTTCGGCGGGGATCCTTGGTCCAATTGTCTCTTCTCCTACTAGTCTATGTCCGGTAGTCCTCCTGGGAGGCGTTGACCATTGGACGTATCATGTAGTGCAGCGCAGTAGAGTACTGACGGTACTCGCGCAGGGCAACACACAAAAGAGATCTCACTTTCCCCACCCGGTTATTCACTCTCTTCTGGCCTTTGTCATGCTGCTTCTTTCGATGTCTTAGTTCTTTGATCACAATGTCTCACGATCCCTCGTGGCAGTCGAGCAGGAATGATCCACATGAGAGACAAGTGCAAGCGCTCGTACAAATCGAGCCGAGGATTTTAATATCGCAGAGATACGATAGTAGTAATAGTCTCACTTTTGACCACACATAATACCGTGCTGGTCCTTCTACCCAGGAGCTCTACGAGTACCACTCCTTCTCACCATTCTCTTTCCAAATTCCCAACCTATTTCCTTCCCCCTCCCCCCCCCTTCCTCGAGTATTTCTCCCTATCATCCCTAGACTGCGTCGATCAGTGGCTGCTGCCTGCTCACTCACACTCACTACTACACCTAGATGTAGAAGCACATATCATACATACAGCGCAGCATAGCATATACACATCAAATATTTATTTATTTATTTATTATCTATTTATTTATTTAGTGATATTCACCCATGTATGGATATTTTGCGGGGCGTGAAAAAACCAAATTTCAAAAGATTGGTCAGACTTCTCTCCCCCCAAGGGGGGGGGGTATGACAGTATGATACTAATGATGATCATGATCATGAGAATGACAATAAATAGCCCTCTCGGCACCTCTTCCGCTTGCCCTAAGCTTCTTTTCCCGGCTATAGAAATACCGGTAGGTCTAGTTGCCCTCGAGTGTCTTATTTTTTTTTTAATAATAATATTATGATAATTTTTTTTTAAATTAATTTTATTATTATTTTTCTCCCATTGATCCCGTCCCTCCTCCTCGCTAAAGGTCACCCTGGTGGGTGGGTTGCTGCCGCTTAAAGAGGTAATGAGTTTCTTCCAGGATAGTATCGAACTGGCGGGGTCAAGGTAAAACAATAATGATAATCAAGAGGCCCCATGATAGGAAATATCTCGAATTCGGATAGGGAGGTGTCTCAAAGGGTTCTTTTTTTCCCCCCTTTTTGCTATCACAACTCAGGTGCGAAGTCATAGAAAATAGTTTATAGTATTATGGTATCATAGTATAGGTGGACATCAGTACCGGCGGTATGGATGAGAAACAATAGTCATCATCATAGCATTTGGCGGCCCGGTATATATACCGTTTACACGCCTCTCACTTACAGGCACTTACCTACTTAACCCTGTCAAAATAAAATAGAGCGAGACAATAAACATAGGGATAGGGATAAAACAAGACACCTGTGAAACAAAATGAAGTGAACTAATCCATGTCTGCAAGGACCAGCTTCTGGCGTGTGGTTTATACAAGTATGATAATATTCGTTTCTTTCCTTTTGTTTCCACTCCAGTTTAAACTGACCGGTTAGTCACTTCTCCGCATTGTTTCCCCTTTAAACTTGCCTGACTCTTTTTTCCTTTTCTCTTTTCCCACGATTGAGGAACGCGGAGGTACGTCATCACTGTGCATCCATACCGTCCATCTCCTAGCTTCAAACCCGGAAGAATCATGTATAATAATAGCTGCAAATATATGGCACGTAAGTGTCCCAAACCGAGGTAACTAGGTGTTTCAGAGGCACTTTGTTTCCTCCGTATGCTCCCCGCATCCCTGAGCGTTTGTCCATCTACTTACTACTGATTATGCAAACCTTTCCCTCTCCCTCCCCCTTTTTACTCTACTCCCGAGGGAAAAGAGGGATATGGTACTCGTATGGAAAAAGTGGAAGAAGTAGAAAGCAAAGGTAAAGAGCATTTACCCCACAGTATTTTCCTGCTCATTTTCCTTTATTCCCCAGAAAACCGGGGGAATAAGGATACCCTGTATTCAACCACTAGTACAGTACAAGCTAGAAACCAAACCAGCCAAAGCAAGTCCTACGCTTGCCGCACTCTACTGCCGGCCACCATCCTTCTCTTCTCCCCCTTGCGCTTACCTCCGCTCGCTCACTCTCTCATCCACCCACTTCACTCCGCTTCTGCTCCAATCCGGAGCACGCACCTATAGGGAAGCAAGTACCGTACGCACGACCTCAGCTCTTTTCTTACCACTATCGAGCGTGCGTTGCGAATTCCAGGTATTTACTGGAGTGTATGGCTGGCAGTGGGCACTTTGCCTTCCTCGAAGCTTCTCATTGGGGAATGCCAAGTCCGTTGCATCTTCTGCTGCTCGAGACCGGTACAGTACACGATAGCCATTGTGTTATTGGTTTATAGGGTAGTAATTTGGAGGGGAAGAGGAGGGGGGAAGAAGGAAACAAAAAAAATGTAATAAAAAAAGAAAACTGTATTTACTCTAGGCCCTGGCGGAAATGAAGAAAATATGAACATCTGACTAAGCAATTCAAGAACACTTTCTCCTAGGGACTGTGTTAGTACTGTACTGTACTGTGCTGTATCGTACTTGTAATCGAGTATTGTACAGTATTTCCGAGATGGTGCCTGTTGACAGCAACACAAGGATTAATTTTTTCTCCCCCAATTTTTCCCCTTTTCTCATTGACTCTATTTCTTTCTTCGCTTTTTCCTCCTTCTGTTGTCTGGCCTAGGTTTTTTTTTTATTCTGCCGCGTGGTTCTTGCTGTTAGTTAGCAAGCTTTCTCTCGTGGGTTCCCTCACTCGATATCGAACGGATAAGGTGTGGGGATATCGATTTGATAGATGCAGGATGGCGGAATTGACAATGGCGTGTCGGTAATGGTGGTCGATGCTCCTCTTGATACCGGTATTATATGTATTTTTCTTTTTTTTTCCCTTTTACCCTCCCCCCCTCCATCCTCGCCTTAGAATGTTGGAACCATCAGAATACGGGTTTTTTGACAGCAGCGGAGAGGAAAGAGGGAGAAAAAAGACAAAAATAATGCAATGATCTCGGTTCCACGAACACTATACTGAAAAAAAGCTCCCATATTTTGGTTTTCTTGATCCGCTAAATATGTGCTCGAGCGCATCTGTAGAAATCCCCGGCTAATCCACAATTATTCCGGCCACGGGCGGAATAGCAGTCCTTGCTGCCTAATACGCGTGTGAATGCACCAGTACGCAAAATGGGAGTAAAACGAAAATGAATAAGAGGATAAGAAGGCATCGAAATAATAAAGACCCCACAATGGTCTGCTCGAGCAATGGGGTAAAAGAGTGGAAAGGAAGGGAAGGAAAAAAATGAGAGGGAGACACAGGACCAAAAACCCCAATTCGAACCCCCCCCTTCTCCTCCCCTCCACTCCACCGATTCCACTCCACTCCTAGTCTAAGCAACTTGGCAAACCACCCAAACTTTTTCAGAAAAAATGATCCTCACACAACCATAACTTACACCCACACACACATAACAAAAAGTTTCCCGGTTTTTTTATTTTTATTTCTTTTTCAAGACATTTCCTTCAGCAGTTACACGAGACCGATCTCAGCCTAATGATGCCGCAGAACTGACGCCATCTTCGTACATTGTCGAGGGAGTGCAGACACAGGAGTTCAGGTAACATATCGGATATACAATTATGCGGGTCTCGGTCGGGTAAAACCCCAGAAAAGCACGGGGAAGAGGGGAAAAAAGAAAAGGAGAGGGAAAGGGGAAAAAGAAAAGGGTAGACGAGAGGAAAGAGGGGAGGCGGTGATCAGTTTGATGGGGGGATGGATGTGAAGTTGAAAGGGAGGTGTGATTATTATCGTCGCATCGAGGGAAGAATGATGATGATTCGGAAATCTGAAAGGTATTTTTTTTTTCCGGTTTTTGATTATTTTTTGACTTTGGACCTCGTGAAGGCCCGGGTATCGAAGCGGTGTCGTGCATTACCGGTATTATTAGTCAGAGTTAGGGGTCGGTGTTTGGATCCGCTCTGTTCGGAACATTCCGACCTGGGCTGAGCTGGGCTGGGCTTGCTTGCCGCACGTTTAAACTACCGCACTGTAAGCCAAACGGTGTTCACATGGCTACCGTAGCTTGAAGCGAGAGTAGGAGGATGGTGGAGATGGGCTTGGTCTTTTTGTGCGACGCGGAAATAATACTTATTGTGAGTGGGTGGAGAACAACCCTCCTCTCCTCTCTCGGGGCGCACGAAACGAAGAATATTGGTACGGCTCTAATGCTGGGCTCCCCCGCCGTGCAAGTCATGCGGCGACATTCTTGTATCATACGAGAGAAGCTGCCGCACCTCTCCCAGGCCACAAGTGAGCCGAAAACAGGGGGTGGGGATATTTCGTATGGGCACTCGGATAGGCGTAATTTTTTTCACCATATGCTCGAGTATTCCTTCAATCCCTGTTTTCGGGTATGATATCTTCTGGCCTGGGACGAGTGAACGGAGGTCGCTTAAATGCTAACGTGCCGATCCGGACAGGTACAGGTATATACCTGTACCTGTTTCAGGGTGCTGTATCTCCTCCCTATCGTATTTACCGTCCTGTACCGCCCGGTACCTTCGTCGCCATGACCCGGCAGACGCCCGACGGGCTCTTGTGCTGTGCGGGAGCACGGCGAGACTGGGCGGATGGCGAACAGGGATTACATTTACGAGGAAATTATTTCGTTACCCTGCTTTCACGAGTTCACTTTTTCACCATGCCCTCGGTGGAGAGTGGATAGGTATGATATGGCATTGAAGGCGTGTGAGTGGATGGATGCCGGATGTCTGCGAATCCGCAGGGCCTGTGATGAAGAGGTGGAAAAACGGCACTCCCGAGGCCGGAGTGGCCTCAGCTGGCCGGGGAGAAGGGAACGTGGAGTGCCGCACAAGTACGGTGGGGCAGGGTTAGCACGGCAGCGGCAGTTGTATCATACCGTGGTATATGTTATTATATGTGCTACCGTACATAAGCCATCACTCTGCCTGTGTTGCAGACGGTATTGTACGAGTACTTGGGCGGCAAGGTAGCCTTATCTCTCTCTCCTTTTATTTTTTTTTGCACATCACGGAGATGCTCCATCTATACCCCCACCTAGGCCCTCAACTGCATTAATATATGTCTCTCGAACTCGA